TTAAGAAAAGAATTAAACTTTCCACATGACGATCCGTTGTTAAGAAACATTGGCGTTTTTCACTTTTATAGATCTAGTCAAAACTTTGAACATATGCCATTGATTTGATCAGCCTGCTCTCATTTGACTAGAGACAACTACACATAGATAATACATCTGTATTATGAGGTGTATATACCCACTCATATGGACGCAGTTTGGCCTCGAAAATCACAAAACAATTTGCATCGTTAAACAAAGTGGTAGATAACTTCAAAAGGGAAGGGAAAACTGTTAATCTAAGGCCATATTTGTGAAATATGGCGTAAAATAAGTTAGAATACCAAGTTTGACCTTGATAGCTATTACCAATCTCGAGTTATAAGTTTCCAAAGTTGAAGTAAATTGCGTTTGCACATCTTGAAGAATCTGAGACGGTCATACAGGAATTTTTTGATAAAAAGTTGTATTGCAAAAAATAGGAACATGCATATTGTGAACAATTTGAGACCAAAATCAAGTCTCTCTGACCAGTGGTTATCGAGATACAAGCGCCCAAATCAACAGGCAGCCATTTTGAAAAACGGCCCCAAACGGAACTTTCCCCCCATATCTGGGAGGTATATAGGAGCTATATTTTATCTAAATTGATCAATCTTGCCAAATCCATCAAGGAAAAAAGGTATCCTAAAATTAGTTACGGATCTCATGAAAATGACTCTACTATCAGTAGTGCACACAAAATATTGTGACCAACTTACCCTTAATTTCCTGACCTAAATTATAATAGGTAAATCAAAGAATTTTTTTATATAAAAATAAATTTTCAACAACTTTACTTGTGTATGTCACACTTACTTTGTCTGTCTTGTCTGAATCATTGATACTAATGTCATCTACTGCAGTCAAGATCTGTGATACACTCTGCCGATTCACTGCACGTCCTTCTCTTGCTTTCTTACGATAAATATCACCTTGTACCCACATACCAGCTTGTTTGCTGAAACAACAAAATTCAGCATGAATTATTTAGTAGCAGATAAAGGGGCATTAAAAACTATTTTTTAAAAATTATATAGTCACATCATGTAATATAATATTAACATACTCTTCCATAAAATGTTGTTGGGGACCAATGACAGAACCAGGTCGGCAAATGCGCAACCATGCTATTGCTTCTGCTGCTGTGAATCGGTAGTGTTTCATCATGTAACAGCCAATTAATGTACCTGTTCTTCCCAGCCCAGCTGCAATGCAAAATAGAAAGATTTTTTTAGAAATTTACAAAATTCTCAATAAGACAAGATGCTACATTTGAACTTGCATGGTGCCAACTAAAGAAAAGAATTTAATACAAAGTGTACTTCTTTCCATTTTAATTAAATTAACAGAAAAACACATTTACACTTCATAGTATTTATATGATTCGGAGTCA